ATACCTAGCATCTCCCCACTGACTCTCTTGTTTGTCCTATGGAAAAAGCAGACAAACCTTAGAGTATAAGAAAGTAATTATCTACTATTATTTTTTTAAGATTTTATTTATTTATTCATGAGAGACAGAGAGAGAGAGAGAGGCAGAGACACAGGCAGAGGGAGAAGCAGGCTCCATGCAGGGAACCCGACGTGGGACTTGATCCCAGGTCTCCAGGATCACGCCCTGGGCTGAAGGCGGCGCTAAACCACTGAGCCACCTGGGCTGCCCTCTACTATTATTTTAAACCAATTTAAGAAATGGCCCCAATTGGAGCTGATGTTCCAGATGGAGTGTCTTTCATAGAACAAATCAACATAGTCCCTGGCAACTGGAAGTATGCAGCTTTTGACATGAAAATACCTTTTCCTCTATTATCAGTTTGCAAGAACAATCAGAAATAGTTTGCTTTTAACTGGTATGACTAACAGTAAATTTACAAGTATTGTCTCAGGGCTGTGTCAACTCTCCTGCTTTCTATCATAATATACTCAGCAGCGACCTTAATCATCTTGACATTCCACACATCGTATCAGTCCACTAAACATTGATGACATAATGCTAATTGTTTCTGATGAGCAGGAAGTAGCGAGTACTTTAGATGTCTTCGTAAACATATGAGAATACCCAGGTTGGAGATAAACCCCACAAAAATTAAGGAGGTCACCACCTCAGTGAAATTTCTTGGAGTCAAATTGTCTAGAACATTTTGAGATCTCTCCAAGGTAAAAGAAAAATTGTTGTCCTTTGAACTATCTTCAGCTAGGAAAAGCACAACCCTTAGTGGACTTTTTTGGATTCTGAATTCAATATACATTTGTGCTAGTATAATCCACCTACTGACAACCTGAAAGAGACAGGACAATTATGGATTCAAGGTATTTCAGAAATGAAGATTTAAATCACCCCCTATCAGGTAAAGAACCTCAACCAGCTGAAGTCCTTATTGAGAATTAAAAAAAAAAAAAAACCCTACCATGAAATGAGTAGTGAAGGAAGAGTTATAAATATCAATTACAGTCTTGTGATCAATTAGAAGGATTATAGAAACCATGTGTATTTCTTCCTTATTTATTTTTCTTCTCCTTTCTCCTTCCCTTGTTTAGTGCCATTTGCTATACCCAGACTTACTAAACTTCAAATGAACCCAATTAGAAGGATTATAGAAACCATGTGTATTTCTTCCTTATTTATTTTTCTTCTACTTTCTCCTTCCCTTGTTTAGTGCCATTTGCTATACCCAGACTTACTAAACTTCAAATGAACCCAATTTCATTTAATATTTAAATATCATTTAAAATAGATACTGTTATCTAGGTTTTGTAAGAAGAGTATCTTAAATTTAAAAGAGCTTAAACAAACTGAATCAAGATTTCAAAGAGATATGTGTACTCCTATGTTCACTGCAACGTTATTCACAATATCCAAGACCTGGAAGCAAAGCAAGTATCCAACAATGAACTATGGATGAAGAAAATGTGGTATTTACATAAAATGGAATATTATCCAGCTTTTAAAAAGAAGGAAATAGTGCTACTTGCAACAACATGGATGAACCTGTAGGACATTATGATAACATCAATAAGCCAGACACACAACAAATCCTATATGACACCACTTATATAAGGATCTAAAATAGTCAAACTCATAGAAGCAGAGAGTAGAATGGTGGTTACTGATATGGAGAAAAAGGCAAAAAACAAAAAATTAAATTTCCTTATAACTTAAATCCCATTGATAAGTACTTGAGACAGGCAGAGTGACCCTCCTCCTGGAACTCAACTGCCTTGATGTTAATACTTTGCTAGAAACAAAAGGCAACCTTTGCTTGACATTAGCCAGACCTCCAGGATCCTGTAAAATTCCCTTTGTAAACTTCCTTTATCCTAGATATATGTTAGCAATCATCCTCCAAGCATATGGCCACTGATAATACAACTGAAGGGTCTCATAATTAAGGTTTTACTAGACAGTAGTATATGGCCTTTTCCTAACAACTGCTAGTCCCTTGAGGTCCTGGAAATCTTGCTTTCAAATTCCTTAAGTAATGGAATCCCTAACCCTCTCCCAACTTGAAAGTATATAATCAGCCACTCTTCACAACCCCAGTACAGCTCTTTTTGCCCATGGTTCCTGTCCCTGTGCTTTAATAAAGCCACTGTTTTTTGCACCAAAGATGTCTCAAGAATTCTTTCTTGACTGTTTGCTCCCAAACCCCAATATTTCACATCAGTTATAGTTGGGAGTGGGGAGGATTGAGGAGGTAATGGTCAAAGGGTATAAAGCTTCAGTTATATAAGATGAATAAGTCTTAGAGATCTACTATGTACCATAGGGTCTATGGTTAACAATAGTGTATTATATACTTAAAGATAAAGATATATATTAAGCATTCTTATCACACACAAAAAAAGGAGAGGAAACTTTGGGATTTCATGGCATTGATTGTGCTTTTTCACAGGTTTATACTTATCTCCAAATTCACTGAGTTATTTACATTAAATGTGAACAGCTTTTTGTATGTCAATCATTTCAATAAAGTGCTTTTTTATGAATAAAGAAAGTTAAATAGCTTGCTTATAGTCACATAGCTTATACGTAAAAACCAAAATATGAACCCAACTCAGGCTCCAAAACTCAGAACAAGACAATGAAATTAAGAAACTGGAAATAAAGAATGGTGATTTATTTTTATTTTATTTAAAATAAATTAATTAACATAGAGTGTATTAATTTCAGAAGTAGAGGTCAGTGATTCATCAATTGCATATAACACCCAGTGCTGATCACATCACAGACCTTCCTTAATGCCCATCACCCAGTTACCCCATCCCTTCACCCCCTCCCCTCCAGCAACCCTCAGTTTGTTTCCTATAGCTAAAAGTCTTTTATGGTTTGCCTCCCTTTCTGATTTCACCGGTTCAACTGATTTAAAGATGTTTATTTGGGAAGCTGTGGGCTTTCAGAGTAAGCTCCTCTGTGCCAGGTGTTGTTCCTGTCTCACTTCATGCCCTCCCTGCTGTTCAGTCGGGTTAGTGATGCTCTGCAAACCACTCTGTCGGGATTCACCACTAGGGAGTGACAGAGGAAAACTGCAAAGCTGAAGAGGAAGAAGGCTCCTGCTCCTTCCTTTTTGCTTCCTTCTGCTTCATTGAGACTTCTTGTATGCTGGCAACTCCCAGGATTACCTCCTAGTAACACTGTTTGCTCCAGCAGCTGCAGAGCCCATCCAGAGAAGCATCTAAACTCAGCCTGCAGTTTTCTCAACACGTGTAGAACCTGCTTCAATGCACACCCCACTCAGAGTCACCAGCCAACCAGTTTTCCTGAAACATCTGAGTTTCAGCTCTACAGGATAACCCCCTCCCTAAATTTCTAAGTGTTAATTCCCTCCCTCTTCCCTCAGAAAAAAAAAGTATCATTTCCAAGGGTTTGCTACAGCTCCTACATCTGTAACATCTCAGTATCCCCTTCTAACCCTTTTAGTTATCTAACAACTTAGTTTAAAATTCTTCATATAAAATTCACTTGATTCAAATAATGGGTGTGATTCTTGTTTCTGAAGGAACCCTTACTGTTATACTCTTAAGGCCTTTTAAAAATTCAGATTATTTACTGAACCATTTGTTCAGACTTCCCACTTACTTTGATTAATCTTGGAAACTGACTGAAAAAAAAAATTAGTCTCTGAGCTTTGGAAGTGGCAACCAGAGAATTACATTATAGGTCTGACAAGAATCTGATTGAAGAACTGGAAAGATTACTTGGCACCACTTAGCTCTGCAGTTAAGAAAGCTCTACCATTTCTGGGCAACCCGGTGGCTAGGTGGTTTGGCGCCACCTTCAGCCCAGGGCGTGATCCTGGAGACCCAGAATCGAGTCCCCCCTCCGGCTCCCTACATGGAGCCTGTTTCTTCCTCTGCCTGTGTCTCTGCCTCTCTCTCTCTCTCTCTCTGTCTCTCATTCATGAATTAATGAATAAACAAACAAACAAACAAACAAATCTCTACCATTTCTATTAAAAACCTTCTCTGTAAAGTGGGCTGTGCCATGGAGACCTGACAGCAGGTAGCCCTTTGTTAATTACTGACTTATCCCCAAAACCATAACTCTGACTTGAGAAACCTGCTTTCCATCATGATTATTCTATAAATGCTAATAGGCAAACTTAGTTTTAAAAGCCCAAGAATACAAAGGGATTTTGAGAAACTTCAAGGGAGAAAATGTTGAGTCATCACATCAACTGAAGCATGAAAGCCTTAAGTGAGCCTGGGGATTGAGAGTTAAGTAATTTTGTTCTAATGAGGTTAGGAGAGACTAATCCAAGCACTAACTATTTGTTCATATCGGGGATTTTCATTTCTTTCTCTTTTTTAAAGATTAATTTATTTATTTTGGGGGGTAGATTTTGTATGAGCAGGGGGAGGGGCACAGGGAGAGGAAGACAGAGAATGCCAAGCAGACTCCATGATGAGCTCAGAGCCTGAACAGGGCTCCATCTCAGGACCCTGAAATTATGACTTGAGCCAAAACCAAGAGCTGCATACTTAACTGACAGAGCCCCCCCAGACACCCTGAGGCTATTCATTTCTAAAAACATTCTTTTTTTCTCTTCTTGATTCCTACATCACAAATACAAGACAGAGTAAAAGAATTGATATACTATGTGGGGATCCCGGAGTGGCTCAGCGGCTGAGCGTCTGCCTTCAGCGCAGGGCGTGATCCTGGAGTCCCGGGATCGAGTCCACATAGGGTTCCCTGCATGGAGCCTGCTTCTCCCTCTGCCTGTGTCTCTGCCTCTCTCTCTCAGTCTGTGTCTCTCATGAATAAATAAATAAAATCTTAAAAAAGATATACTACATGACCTCAAAATCAAAAATTCTGGCTTTTACTAGAATAATATTGAAAACACAAAATTTCAAGACTTTTATCTCTTTGTTTTTTTTTTAATTTTTATTTATTTATGATAGTCACACACACACAGAGAGAGAGAGAGAGGCAGAGACACAGGCAGAGGGAGAACCAGGCTCCATGCACCAGGAGCCCGACGTGGGACTCGATCCCGGGTCTCCAGGATCGCGCCCTGGGCCAAAGGCAGGCGCCAAACCGCTGCACCACCCAGGGATCCCAATCTCTTAGTTTTTCAATATAGTATTTATCTTCGGTGGAAGAGACAAACTAAATCTTTTCCCAAAAGGATGAGAGGAATCTTGGTCTGAAGGGAGCCAGAATAAAGTAAAGGTAGTATTGTTTTGTTCAAAAGATAAGATCTGTAAACCTGCAGAAAAGATGCCAGTAGACTTATAACACTGTGGGATGGAGAAGTGAAGGAACTCAGGATTTTCAGAACCACTGAGGTTGTCAACCATGAGAAAGTTCAAGAAGAGTCAAGATGACTGATGTTTATCTAGAATAACAGCCAGGAAGATCTTGATGCAGGAGAAATTCATGGTTCTCCTCTTAGGGGGCATCCCTGGGGAAACAGGAGACAATACAATGAATCCTGAAGATAGAATTCAGGAACCTCTGAAGTTAGTATTTTGAACCTTCATTCCAATATTTACGGTTTTATTGAACAGAAGAGACAAAAATGAGAGAGAAGTACACAAAGGTTAGGAATAGAAATTAGTATGGACCAGGGGCTGAGACTGGAAGTGAGCCAAACAAATATATTGTTATATTGTATTTGAGTACAGATTGTACACTCTGATCACTTGAAAGACATTTTTTAACTGTAGGAAGGGACAAAAAAAGGAATCAGAAGACCTAAATGAAAATCCCAAATTTACCCAATTTTATCTTGGGTAAGCACAAAACCCTGTTGACTGTTAGGGGACTAACAATGCCCAGATACACAAGAGTCAGGAATAAAGCTGAGAAAACTAGGAAGAAGGCTGCCCAGGATGATGTTTTACTCCATTTGGGTGGTTGCTCCTTCTTTATCTAACACATCTGCACTCTCAAAAATCAAAACACTCTTAATATTTGTAGGAATTTTTTTCCACATGTGATGTTCCTCACCTCTCTGTTCTTTTTCTTTCTTCACATACTTCTTCCCAATCCATCAAGAGCCAAACTCCTGGGGTGCCTTGGTGGCTCAGAGGTTGAGTGTCTGCCTTCAGCTCAGGTCGTGATCCCAGAGTCCTGGGATCAAGTCCCGCACTGGAGCCTGCTTCTCCCTCTGCATGTGTCTCTGCCTCTCTCTCTGCGTTCCTCATTAATAAATAAATAAAATCTTAAAAAACAAAAACAAGAGACTAAACTACTTGAAAGTACACCTGTGTCCTGCCCATTCCCGAGTCCCCTAAATCCCCTAGTACAGTGCAAAGCAAATAGCAGGGGCTCAACAAAGATTGGCTGAAATAAGCCAAATAATTCAATTATTTGAAATTTGAAAATTTCAAATTTTCTCTTGAAAAATATAATAATCAATAATGGAGTGATTATGGATTAGTATACACTGATTAAGAACACAGACCTTGGAGCCAGAGAGCTGGGGTTCAAATCCCAACTCCACTATTTACCAGTGGCTGGGGTTCAAATCCCACTCCACTATTTACCAGTGGCTGACCCTGAACAACTTATTCTCTCTGTGCCTCAGTTTCTCTCATCTGTAAAACAGAGGATACCTTCAATACCAAGCTTTGGACTGTTGTAAGAATTAAATGACATAATACATGTAAAGCACAGAACCTTATCAATTAAATGCTAATAAGCCTTTGCTGTTATCATAAAATCAGCTGTATATTATAGTAAACTAAAAACTGAAGATATGTTTTAAAGTTATCATGTCAGCTAATATTTAAATACATAAACATTTAATTATCTTAATTTTTAAAAATTTCAACTACTTACAGGAACTGTTTGGAAATCCAGTAGCTATTTGATTCAATCCAGTAATCAGATTTGTCTAACCAATGGACAAAAATATCTAATTCAAAATAAAATTATAACTATTTGGTAACAATAGTTATTTGGTAACTAATTATTTGGTAACAATAGTTATAATTTTATTTTGAATTAGATGTTTTTGATTTGAAAACTAATGATTATTTGTTATCAAATAATTCCGAGGATAAAAAGCCCAACTTTTACTATAGAATAATTGTGTTTAACTATCTCAATCTTCAATTTCACACAATGAACAGCTGGAAATTTTATTTTCCCAGTGCCTGCATATATTCAAATATATTCAAATTTTACTGGAAATCTATTTCCCAATCAGGTTAATTTTACTTAGCACATATACTTTATACTTTCCTTAACTGTGTATAATATCCTATGACTATCTGCACATTCCATAGCCCACAATAATGAATGAGAATTAATCCCCCCAAGAAAAATAGGCAACACTGCCAGCCAGCATAAACTGGGCTAAGCTTGTGTGTGCCGTGTGCCAGAGTACTGTGAGGGGGCTAGCTGCCCTGGCATGTTGCATTGCTATCATACATGTCCACATGAGACAGAGTAGAAGGGCTCATCCCTTTTAAGTCGGTATAAGCTGTCTTCAAGTCGCAAAACATTACTTCCATTTAAAAGAAACCCAATTAGCACAGGCTAATAAGCTGGCAAGCACTTATCTGTCTTGGCTATAACGACCCACTAGAAAATATCTGGAATAGGCCCCAAAAGTACACCATTTAACCCAAACCCAGAATCCTTTCCCTGCCTGCTCAGCAAAGAATAAAGCGGACATTATACAATGAAAGGACTGATGCCAATAGCAGTCCTGAAGCCAGATACTTTTTTCTTCCAACTGCTATTATAAAGGAGTTCACCAGAAATAGAAAAGATCATGCAATTCAGAAAACAAAGACTGAATGTTTTTACTTACAGACATTTTTATTAGGATGACAAACTGAAAAGGCTCCTAATGCCTGCTTGTGTGAAGGAATGAAGTGCTCCATCAGGCTTAAAGAAAATTGAGTTGCCTCGAAGTGTGAAATCTCCCCACACTGACATTCTTGCTGACTCGGGAGGTGCTGTCATGGGAGGGTTTTCCCAACAGCACCCTAGAAATCCAGGATGTTGGTAAGGCACACAACAAACTGTGACTAACACACATAAAAGTGACCTTTCATCCTAGGCCAGGAAGTTAGTAGTAAGCACATTCTGTGTCTGGGTGTTGGAGCCTCCTGTGTCTTCAGCCCTGCTACCTCTCATGGGCTTCAGGCTGCTCATCCTGCAGGTCCTACAATGACCTCATCATCCCCCACTTCCCACCACTCCAGATGGCAGCTCTGTGGCTCAAGCCCCCTCTTACCTACGAGTAAATCTAAGACCTAAATATGATCCTTGGTTTCTCTCTCCACATGTCTTCTTGATCAGCACAACCTATCATCTCTACTTTCAAAAATGTATCCCCAACTCTTCCAACTCTTACTGGTTTATCAATCACTGGCATCACTGTTCATCCTCTCATCTGGACCACTGATTGTTCTGTTTCCACTTTGACCCTGCTGCATCTCACTTTCCACAGAACATAACATGTTATCGCCCCCTGCTCCAAAGCATCCAGTGCATTCTCAGTGCCTTTAGAATAAAACCTAAACTCTATTGAGCCTACAAAATCCTACATGGCCCGGCACCTACCTACCTCTATGAACTTCATCTACTTTCACACTCCTCGTTTGCCACACTCCAGCCACCTGGCAAGAGAAGTTGCCAACTGCCCTGGCCAATGGAGTGCACTCCCTGCATCACCTCCCACCACTCTGGCACTTCACCATTTTATTTTCTTCTGGCACCTGTTACTTCTCATCGTCATTTCTTTATTTTTTTTATTGCCTATCTTCCCCTACTAGAATGAATGCCCTGACCACAAGGCTCTTATCTGACCTGTTAACTTCTATATGCATAGCACCTACCATGCTGGGTATTTGGCTGAATGAATTAACTAATTTAAAAAAATGAATGAATACAGTTTACAGTTGTGTAAAATTTAATCCCAGAAAAATGCTAATTTTTACTATAAATATGAAGAATTGCTGTTAGACAAGCTGTCATTCACTAGGTGTATGACTTTAAATCATTATTTATTATCCTTACTCTCAGTTTTGTCTTCTGAGAATTAGGTGTATTAATAGTCCTGATCTTATAGGGTTATAAGAAATAAAGAAGAAAATGTGCACAAAACCCCAATGTTTATAGCAGCAATGTCCACAATAGCCAAACTGTGGAAGGGGCCTCAGTTTCCATCGAAAGATGAATGGATACAGAAGATGTGGTTTATGTATACAATGGAATATTACTCAGCCATTAGAAACAACAAATACCCACCATTTGCTTCGACGTGGATGGAACTGAGGGTATTACACTGAGTGAAATAAGTCAATCGGAGAAGGACAAACATTATATGGTCTCCTTCATTTGGGGAATATAAAAAATAGTGAAAGGGAATGAAGGGGAAGGGAGAAAAAATGAGTGGGAAATATCAGAGAGGGAGACAGAACATGAGAGACTCCTAACGCTGGGAAACGAACTAGGGGTGGTGGAAGAGGAGGTGGCCGGGGGGTGGGGGTGACTGGGTGATGGGCACTGAGGGGGGCACTTGATGGGATGAGCACTGGGTGTTATTCTATATGTTGGCAAATTGAACACCAATAAAAAATAAATTTATTAAAAAATAATAATAATTTGTAATTGATTATGGAGGATTTAAAATAATAACCAGTAATATATATTCAATAATAAATTTGGCATTTGCTGGCAAAAAAAAAAGAAAATGTTCACAAAATACTCAGCACTATGCTTAGCACTTGGTATATGTATTCAATAAATGCTACCTATTAGCAGAGGATAAGATGACCATATTCTAGTCATCTTAAAAACACAAATGAGTTTTATTGTGGAAACTGATGTGCCACCAGTGGTCCCCAGGAAATTGCATAGCGTGATGAGAAATCCCAGATATATCCCTTTTTCTCTAAGACAGAAATCATACCCTCCTCAACACCCCCCATAGAACCTTCAAATTATTTCCTTTCTACTGCTAGCATTTTAGTTAAGAAAACAGGCTCTAAAATCAGCTCCCCTTTTATGGTCTCAAGACTTTCAATAACCTGATCCTACCCTTCTACCAACTCATCTTGAGGGTTGTTTTCACTCTAGTCAGAACAGTCCCTCCACCACCATCCCCACCACCACCCTGATACCAAGTAAAAGGGAATATGGCATAGTGGTTGAGAGTGCAGAATCTGGAGCCAGACTGCTTGGCTTCAAATGCTAGCTCCATAACTTACTCATTTACTAGTTAGTCTATGCCCCAGGTTCCTCATCTGTAAAATGGCAAGGATAGAAACATTGCGTACATCATAAGCTTGTGGTAAGAACTATGTAACACACATAAAGCACTCAGCACAAGGCCTAATATTTAGTAAGTAATGATGCAGCTGAGCCTTTACTCAAAAACTAGTTGTCTTTCTAAAAACAAATCCAATCATGTCCCTTATCTGTTCAAAACCTTTCATTAATGCTCCTTGCCAAGAGGATGAAGTTCAAAGTCCTGAGTGTAGCATACTAGGCACAGTGCAAATTCTTCCTACTGTGTCACTCACCCACTTTCCAACTCCATCTCCCACTGTTCTCCACAGCCTCCCCAAGCAAGGGAAATCCAGAATCCATGTTTTGTGCTTCTCCCAATCAATGCTTTTGTCATCCCATGATCGTACTGCGGCGTTTTGTTTCCCTGCTTCACCTGTTGAAATTCTCTTATTATTCCCTTCTACCTGCTAAGCTCCTAATCATGGTTCTCTACCTACACAACTGCTACCTTCTCATGAAGTACTTCCCGAACCTTCCAGGTGAAGTCTGTGGTACCTACTTCTAAGCTCCCAATCATCTAGAAAACCTGAATGTACAACCCTGTGTTGTCATTTGCCAGTTCACATCTCTGTGTCTCTTCTCTACAACCTCCTCAAGGTCAGGCACCTCTTTGCTTCTTTTTTTGTGTAATGTCTGACTTACAGCAGGTGTTCCATGAATGAGGTTTTGACTGGACTAAGATATATCTATGGAAGGAATGTGGACAACAAGCAAAATTTTAGCAGAGGAACCAAAACCACAAAATCATTCTAGTAGTGGCTAAAATGGCTAAAATGAAAGCAATTTCACGTTAAGCATGCTTTCTTTTTTTTTTCTTTTTCTTTTATTTTTTTTATTGGAGTTCAATTTGCCAACATATAGCATAACACTCAATGCTCATCCTGTCAAGTGCCCCACTCAGTTAAGCACCCTTTCGATCCATCTTCTTGTGATTTTGGCTTCTGATTCCTTTTTGTTGCATAGTTTTCTACTTATTTTTTAAAGCCTAAGCCATTTTACATGAAAATGGGTCAAGGAAACATATTCTTTAAGATGTTCAAAGTAAAATATTTCTAAAGTTTTACTAGTTTAATGTTTTCCCTACTCTAAAGCAATTCTAAAACATCATAGTAAGTTTTACATCTTTATGTATTTAAATAATTCTATCATTAGGGTTTTAGTAGGGTTTTTTTTTGAAGATTTTATTTATTTATTCATGAGAGACACAGAGAGAGAGGCAAAGACATAGGCAGAGAGAGAAGCAGGCGCCCTGTAGGGAACCTGATATGGGACTTGATCCCAGGACCCCGGGATCACACCCTGAGCCAAAGGCAGATGCTCAACCATTGAGCCACCCAGGTACCCCAGATTTTAGTAGTTTAGATATTAACTTAGCAATCTCCCCCACCTGTGCTCTATAGAACACTAATCTATGAAGCTAACCTATGGAAACTAACAAACAAAATGATTCCATGGCCAAGTAATTTTGGAGAAAAATACCTGTTATATCTCTTAATTGGAAAGTCAGAGAGCATTTTAGCATATTAAAGGCTCTGAAAAGTCCACCAATGAAGAACTCTATTTCTCAAATGTATTTACCAGATAACCCTTTAATGTTCCATCAAACAGGTGTTCATGGAACTCATTTTAGGAAATATTGCACAGTTTAGTCTCTAAATGGCCCCACAAAACTGTTTTTTGGGGTCATCAACAATCTTAATCTATAACATCGTTGGTCTGAGTTTTGAACGGCATCTGCCACTGTCACTGTACAATTCCTGACTCCCATCTACCTGTCCCTGACAAGTTATTGTTTACTGTATGCATGGAGGGAACGGAAAGTAAATGATTTTTACATCTAAGAAAGTGTTTTACACTGGATCAGAATCTCCTTCTCTATAGAGCCCATCCATTCATCTTAATTCAGCTTCTTGGAGCCATGAAAAATAAATCTAAGACTTTTAGCACTTTTTCAACCAGAAGACCTAAATTATCACATAGAATCTTTGGTTGCTGTTAGAATAGCAATCAAAAAGCCTACTTACCTCTTCATCTGAAAAGCAGACAAAGAAATGTGGAGATGATTTGCAGATACCTAGCATACCAGGCCATCACTAATGATGTATAATGATTAGAGAATAATGACTCGGTGCCTTTGAAGACTGAAATGAAATGTCCTTGAGGTGACAAAGAGCCAACATGAAGAGTCCTAATTTGACAACAAAACAACCTAAACCCCTTTTATGAGGTAAAGAGTGTGTCCCAGGTAATAAACACTTAAGTAATTAGCTGGTTTTAATGGAGATAGCTATAAACTGAAACACAAGGAAAAAAATCTTGGTAAATAGGCTGACACCCAGGGAGGTGGGTATATAAGAGCCAGGGCAGAAGAGAGAAGCATTGAGATACCAACAGAGTCCTCTTCTCAACCCAAGGAAAACCCAACTCCTGACATCATGGCTCTCTGTGTTCCCTGCTGCTGCAGCGTCCCCACGGGCCCTGCCACCACCATCTGCTCCTCTGACAAATGCTGTCGTTGCGGAGTCTGCCTGCCCAGCACCTGCCCCCATGACATCAGCCTCCTTCAGCCCACCTGCTGCGACACCTGCCCCCCACCCTGCTGTGAGCCTGACACCTATGTACCAACTTGCTGGCTGCTCAATTCTTCCCACCCAACTCCTGGACTGAGTGGGATCAACCTGACCACCTATGTTCAGTCTGGCTGTCAGAATCCCTGTGAGCCCTGCTAAGCAGCCATGTCTCTGCACAGGTGTGGGATGCTGCTCACCATCTGGCCTTCAACACCCACTACCTGTTTCAGGCTCAATCAATCCCAAGTCCCTGGGCCATGTTTTCATGAATTCACCCAACTTCTCCTCTCCTCTTTTGAGTGGAGTTGGAGACCTTCTTTCTGTCTTTTAGGCCATTTTACTGCTCTTTGAGATATAACCATTTTGATTATTCCTTAATAAACTTTATTCTGGCTTAGCAAATTTGGCCTTGTGATGATTTGTTCTCATGTTTCCTCTTGGCAAAAGTGGAATTCCTATCTAAACCTGAATAGCAGGTCATCATATCTAAGATTTATCCCCAGCAGAAGGAGCACATTTGTGGTGGAATCACTGAAAAATTACATACTAGCTCTTTGTGATGGGTTGAAAACTATAAAAAATTCACTAAGCCATTTTGTAGGCTCTTTTTACTCAACAGGTATTTTTTGAAGACAACTACTATGCCAAGCCCTTTGCTGGAACCTGGAGATTAATATAATGTTTTTTAAATGTTTTACTTAATTTAATTTCCATTGTCCCTGAAATTGATTTTTCTTTCTTCCTTACCTGGCTAAACAAATTGATCACTTTGCTGTCATGTAGAAATAATTTTGATTGCTTTAGTTATAATCATTGGTGAAATTCCAAGCTCAAAATGCAAACGTAATTTGGGGAAGAACATATACCCATTACTTGATACATGCTGTCTAGAAAAGTCAATTCCGAAAAAATATTCATATTTATTGGCTATTCCTTGCACCCTCAAATGAGGCTTGTTTTACTTGTAAGAATTATCTTTAGAAGTTTACTAGTCCAGGGACACCTGGGTGACTCAGTGGTTGAGTGTCTGCCTTTGGCTCAGGGCATGATCCTGGGGTCCTAGGATCAAGTACCACATCAGGTTCCCCACAGGGAGCCAGCCTGCTTCTCCCTCTGTCTATGTCTGTCTCTCTCTGTGTGTCTCTCATTAATAAATAAATAAAATCTTTAAAAGCACAAAGAAGTTTAGTAGTCCAAGTAACATATAGTATCATGGTGTTGAAATAAGCTGAAAATGCCAGGCTATAGCACAGTATTATCCATCCACCAGAAATGGCACACAATTCTGGAAGCAAAAACACAGTTCCTGTTAGAATAGAACTTTTATGATGACCATTAATTCATCTCCTCAGTTGTCCTGGAAAATTCCAAATGTGTAAGGTTTTTACAGGAAGTATCCAAAGAACAATCTCATCTATTTTCTTGGACTTGTCTTGGGACTTTGGGCCATTCACTTTTCTCTCAACCTTAGTTTTCTCGTCATCACAGCAGAAATAATACTCCCACCCCTGCCTGTATCCTGGCCTCAGGATTATTGTGAGACTCAGATGACCCAACATGTCAACAGCCCCATTCTAAATGGTGACAGACACTCGCCATTAC